GGGGGGGTGAGACGGATGAGAGGGGGGAAGCTATCTCTCAATAATATATTTCCGAACAGAATGGCGCAAAAAACAGTATTGTTCTTTCTGTTTGTCCTGTTCCCGTTATTGCTAACACGTAGGTTTCTTTGCGCCGTGCGGAACAGTACAATTCTCCACTTAACTCAACATTTGCTCCCGGTCCGAAACCAAAACGTCTCCATCACCTGTGAGTGCTGCCATACCCTGAGGATGTTCGATGAAGTGTTTGACCGCAATGATCCGTGCGCCAAGCCGATGTTGCAAGCAGATACGCGATGCTTGACCCTCGGCGCACTCCAGACACCCGGCGACAGGCTCCCGACCCCGGCGCATGCTTCCCCGCATGCCAACAAAGAAACCGAGCTCGGGCGGGGCTGCATCAAGCTCTCGTGCTCCTCTCCATCGCTAGTCGCCCCTTGCATAAAAAACCGTTTATATGCGCGCCACTCACTGCATCTTGCAAGCTTCCGCCTGATCACGCCTGCCCGCTTCCCTGCCCGCAGCACCCTGCAACGTTACAGTGCCATCCATCCGGCCGCTGTACGTCATTGCTGCATCGCGCTAGCTAATTCACCGCACTGCACCCCAAAACCATGCATTATGAAGAGTATGAAGAGAAGCCTCGCCGCCGCTCTCCGCGGCAGACGCCAGCACCAGAACCCAAACCTTCATCTCTCCGCGTCGCCACCCTCGCAGCCGCCCTGCTCGCACTCCCCGGCCTCCTCCTCTACTACACCGACACCCTGACTCCCCCCGTCACCATGAAGCTCCCCAACCTCGCCTGCGCCGTCTCCCTCCTCCTCATCAACCCCGCCAAGTGCTCCCCGACCACCACCTCCACCACCACCAACACAACCACCCCCTCCCTCCTCCCCTTCCTCCTCGCCCCCCTCCCCCTCGGCTCCATCCGCCCCACCGGCTGGCTCCGCTCCACCCTCGCCCTCTCCGCCGCCGGCCTCGCCGGCCACCAAGCAGACTTTTACCCCTACGTCGCCAACAGCAGCTGGCTGCACGCGCGGCCGCCCTCCTCCAACTCGTCCAACTCCTCCTCCTCCCCGTCCGCCCCAGGCTCCGAGTACTCCCCCCTCAACGAAGGCTTCCCCTACTGGCTCAACGGGCTCGTCCCGCTCGCCTACGCCCTCGACGACGCGCGCCTCAAGGCGCAGGTCGGCGACGCGGTGGGGAAGGTCTTGGCGCTGCAGGAGGAGGAGGGCAGCGGGTGGCTCGGGCCGGAGGGGGATGGGGATGGTGCGAACGGCAGGAACTTGTGGGCGCGGTATCCGTTGTTGTTGGGGCTGGTGGGGCTGGCGGAGGCGGAGCCGGAGACGTGGGGGGAGAGGGTGGTGAGGGGGATGTGGGCGTTTGTGGGGGGGATGGCGGGGATGCTGGAGGATGGGGGGAGGGGGTATGTGTGGAGGGAAGGGGAGGAGGGTGAGGGGGGGTTGAGCGAAGAGGAGTTTACGTGGGGGAGGGTGCGGGTGCAGGATTTGTTGGTTAGTTTGCAGTGGTTGTGGGAGAGGGGGGAGACGACGGCGGAGCAGAGGGAGGTGTTGGCGGGGGCGATGCGCGTTTTGATCGATGGGGCGATCGATTGGGCGGAGTGGTGGCAGGAGGGCGTGTTTATTAAGGAGGATTTGAATTTTTTGGACTCGGAGCCGGCGGATGGGGAGAGGTATCCGTATGAGCATGGGGTTAATGCTGGGCAAGGTGAGTTCAGGGGTGGTTCTTCTCTTTTTGTGGTTCGTTTCTGGCATGGGAGTGATGGATGTGGCATTCGTTGCTGTGGGGGGGTCTCCAAACCCTTGTCGTTTCAGGGATCTCTTGGTGTTCAGGCAGCGCACTTCTCCAGTGTGCTCCGAGATACTCTTAGTCGCTGTTTCGTCTCTCGGATGCTGATGTGCTGAATCTCGAACAGGTCTCAAAGCACTTGCGGTTTTCCGCCGCTTCACGCATAACGATAGCCTTGTCGATATCACTCGCCGAGGAGTGGACTGGACTTTCAAATACCATGCTGCTGCGCATGGAGGAATCCTCGCGGACGAGAGACTTGCCGGTTTGGCGCCGTACTACGGGTAAGTCGAATAGTCTCATAAGTCCAGATCGCCGCTGACCGTGGAGCAGCTCCGAAACCTGTACACTTGTTGAAACCATGTACTCCTTGAGTTATCTTTACCAAGCACTGGGCAACAACAGCTACGCCGATCTGGCAGAAACCATCGCTTTCAATGCCTTGCCGGCACAGATGTCTCCCGACTGGTGGGGTCGCCAGTACGTCGGCCAGCCAAACCAGGGCTTCGCAACCGAGCTGGACGAGAACCCCTTCTACAACGTCCGCGAATCCGGCCTCCTCTACAGCGTCGAGGCCAACTACCCCTGCTGCACCGTCAACCACCCGCAGGGCCTCCCCAAATTCCTCGCCAACTCCTTCGCCCGCGTCGGCGACAACGCCATCGCCCACATGCTCCTCAGCCCGGCCAACCTCTCCACCACCCTCGCGGGGGGAAATACCACCATCACCATCGCGTGCGACACGCACTACCCCTTCGCCAACACCCTCTACTACACCATCACCACCAACTCCTCCACCACCACCACCACCAATCCCCCAACCTTCCACATCCGCGTCCCCACCTGGGCCGACCTCTCCAACTCCACCCTCACCCTCACCACCACCAACACCACCTCCACCCCTCTCTCCCCCGACCCCTCCACCGGCCTCCACGCCATCCCCCTCCCCCCCACCGGGACAACGCGCCTCACCTACTCCCTCGCCGCCCCGCTCGTCGTCCTCCCCCGCGCCAACGACACCTTCACCGTCCGCCGCGGCGCCCTCGTCTTCGCCCTCGCCGTCCCGTCGCTCAACACCAGCGCCCACCCCCCGCAGTCGTGGAGCGACGCTTCCGTGCCGCTGCGGGGCGTCGGCGACGAAAACGAAGGTATCCCGGCCGCGGCGGTCGATTGGCGCGTCGAGAACGATGGGTTGTGGAATGTGGGTGTTGATGAGGGGAGTTTGGTGTGGAGGTCGGGTCTTGAAGAAGGTGGAGGCGAAGGGGGAGGTCCGTTGGCGGCTTTGCCGGACACGGTGTTTGCGCCTGGGGAGGCGCCGGTGTGGGTGGAGGGGAGGGGGTGCGAGATCGAGGGGTGGGGATTGTATAAGGGTGTGGTGGGCTTGCCGCCGGGGACGACGAGGGCGGAGAGGAGGTGTGTGGGTGGGGTGAGGACGTTGAGGCTGGAGCCGGTGGGGGCGGCGAAGTTGAGGATGATGGATTTGGCGGCGGTGGATTTGGAGGGGGTGGATGTGGGTGAGTGAGTAGGTTGGTTGTTGTTGTGTGAATAGGGGGAGGGTGGGAGGATGGGAAGATGGGAGAATGGGAGGATGGGGTTGTGGTTGGTTGGTGGGTGCTGCTGCTGCTGAGAGATGCAGTGCTGTTGTTCTCGAGATGAACGCTGGGCTGTGTTGAGTTGAGGTGTGGATGAACCTGGGTGGTGTCCTTTCTGGCGTGCTATACTCTAGATGCTCTTGAGCGTTGTATTGCGGTTTATGTTGGGAGCGTCTTCCCTCAATGTAGATGTATATATCTTGACGATACCTCAAAATACACCCCGGCCATCTTACTAGGTAGACTGGTCTTCATCTCGGCGTGGGTATGTTCAACTGACGGTGGAAACAACAGCAGCGAGACTGCTTTCTTCCTACCACGGCTGTCTGTCGGCTCCTGGAAGTTTCTGATACAGAATGTTTCTGTTTGCACGCTGCTTGATGGCCAGCTCATCCATAGGGCCGATTACCTACTGGTCTACCCCGCGTGGACTGCCCGATTGGTCAAATGAAGTATGTAAGTAGCCCCAACGCTCGGGCTTACCCGAATAAGAATACGAAGCTGGTATGGACTCAGGAGGTGCGCCATCCACCCCAAGGCGGGCGGCTTGCCACTCTGACATCTCAACGGCTTCGTCGCCACGGATTGCACGGTCCGCGTGTCACCGCTACGGTATGCCTATCCATCTCGTATAGCGGCGGTAAACCTACTTGTTTGCAAGCTGTCACCGTGTGATGTGTCTAATTAGATGTAGCATTGATGCTCTACTGGCCAATACCCCGGCAAATTGCATCCTGGCCCGCCGTCCGTCCACGCCGATCAGGCCAAAACAAATCACACAGGCAAGAAGACGGTTGGCTCACCGGTTGAGGGAGCCGCGTCGCATCCCCTGCATACGAGCTCATGTCGTAGGGCTGTGTGACTGACTCTAGCGGGTGGTGAAGATCTGCGGTGAAAATGTCTCATGGGGTTTACGGTGCGCGATGATCGACAAAAGCTCCGAAAGCCAAATGCAGCTTTCCATCCCCTGCAAGATGCCCGGACAATGAGCAGACGGAGGACGCTGAGTTAGTATAGCAAGCTCACTGCCGGTACTATCCATCAAGCATTCCCTTGGCTACAAGCACACTGTGTGACTGTGTTGGCATACGGACTGAAGCAGCGAACCGTGCGTGAGGCGTCGTGGTCCCCCCTCGCGCCATACCATGTACTAAAAATAAGAAGCACATGGATCAAGTGCGGTTCATTGGCCCTCACACCGCCGATAATCGGCCTTTGTGCCGACTCCAGGCAGTTCAGACGTTGATGACGCAACGAAAGGTTTCGCAGTACGATATTTCGCAGCGTGCTGGGGAGCATCCTGGGAAGCATCCCTACCGTTACAGGCGATGCTATCGTCGGCTGCGTGAAGGGAAGACAGAAGTGTGATCCGAAAAAAGCATCAGCCTTGCCACTTGCAGCCCTACAGAACCCCACACGTCAGTGCAGGGCCATGCAGTTCCCGCTGATCAGCTCGTATGCCATGTTCAACCGCTCTTCTCGACGTTTCCCCGCAGATCTTGTCGACTTCAAGGCCGTCGATGACAAACAGGCACAGCAAGGCTGAGATGTTGATCGGTCTGAGGTGAAGGAAAGGGGCACACGCTGCTGAAGTACTTAAAGGCATCAAGACAAGCCCGAACGTTCACTTCCTCACCAGCACCAGCCTTCGCCACAAACAACACAAAGACACAATCGTTTCCACACCACCAAACCCTACATCCACCAAAATGCAGTTCTTCATCGCCGCCGCCGCCCTCCTTGGCCTCGCCTCGGCCGCCAAGGTCACCGACGCCACCCTCCGTGACAACAACGGCCTCCAGTCGGCCGAGCTGTCCATCGACGGCGTCAAGTGCTCTGCCACCAGCGCGGCCGCCCTCGGCGCCCGCCAGATCGCCTGCCCCGGCTCCGCCTTCAGCTGGCACGTCGACGGCTCCGCCTCCGACTACCAGGTCACCCTCTTCAAGGGAACCAACACGTGAGTTCCCTCCCCGTCCCAGCTGCAGCGAACAACTCTTTCTTCCCCCTTGGTCGAAAATGCATGTGATGCTAATAGAGTCGTGGGACAAATAGTGGCGACCCCCAGGCCTCGGCCAAGCTCCCCGTCGACTGCCGCGCTGGCGGTGCCGGCCAGAACGACCAGGTCTGCACCCAGGTCGGCGACGCTACCGTCGACATCTAAGCGACTGGGTCATGAAGTGGGAAAGAGAGACAGTGTGTCTCCGGGGGTGAGGGGATTTTATGGGACCTTGTGGAAATAAGAATATGACCTAATGCTAGTCGCGAGCTTCAATATCGCCAATGTTAAAACGTCTTTGCTCGACACATTCAGCCTTGCGGCTCCGATTTGACCTGCACAATGCACCTAACTTGAACTTTGATTAGATATGGTCCGCGCGACCCGTACGGAAGTTGTCCTGTATGACGCTGTTGATGTTGTGGGAGTTGGACGGCTCGTTTGGGGGTGTGCGATCCCCCAGGGCGAAGTACATGCACCACGGGGATCGCGGTGTTATCGAGAGCGAAAAAGTCGGATGGCTCGGATGTAGGTCTTGTGGCGAAATCGGAGTGGGGTGCCGGGTCGGAGTCTGACAGCAGATACAATCCCCTCTTCTCGTGTGACTTGGATTTTGTTGTCGTCAAGCGAAGAATCGACCGGAGACCCACATGCCGCAACACCACACATCCAATCCACCATGGCCAGCACCGAGCTCCTCTTCAAGACGGCGGCCGCCCTCGACGTCATATCCATCGCGGGGCACACGTTGATGGGGTTCAAGACGGTGCATCCGGCACTCAACAGCATCCCCACGGCGACAAGCCGCGACAACAACGTCGGCCGGGTGGGAGCGCAGGGCACGTGGAACTATTTCAACGCCTCTCTTCTGGCTTTGGGTATGTCAACCGCCAGCCGTCCAAGCATGTCGAACGCTGACTCTGTGTCGTGAAGCTGCTCTGAACTGGCAATGGGCGCGCACCGGGGGCCCGCAGACGACCGAGGAAATGGTGGCACTGGCAGCCACGACCATCATGGGGGTGGTCAGCGGGGTGGGGTACGTGAAGGTGGGCGAGTACGCGCCGCTGGTCTGCCTGTTCGCCGCTCCCCTGCTGAGCGTTGTGGCCACGCTGAAGGGCAACTGATGAGACATCAAATCGATTGACTGCTTCTGCAACTGAAGAGATGGGCAAGGCTGGGGCCAGTGCACGTGACGCGCAGGATCTGTCATCGCTGGCCCTTCCGTTCCCGATGCGCATCTCGCATCTCACAACCCCACCCCCGCACTGCTCCCGAAGCCAAAGAGCCAGCCACATGTGTCTTGCAGCGCGACTTGGCCCAATCTCCCGGGAAGCCGGCCTGACTGTGTGCAAGCCCCCTATTGTTGCGGCGCCTACAAGGACGGACTCACGGAGCCGGACTAGCCTCCAAGCGTACCACCAACCCCGGCGCCCGACGCTGCAGTCGGGAGCACCCGTGCGGAGGCATACCTACCCTGCCCATCTTGATCTGTCTTGATCTCTCGCCCTCACCTCTGATGAACCAAGCCGCGCTGACTCGCAACGTATGTACAAGTGCATCCAGCATCCGCCATGTCTCCCGACCACGTAATCCACTAATATGCGGTCTTGGTACGCGCCGCCATTGTCTTGGTATTCTCACTTGCTGCTTGAGCAGCGTCCAAGCGCCGTACTTGGCGCACCTTATCTGCTTCCGCGCTGGCAACCCATTTGGCTGCGCCTGACGCTCATTTGCCCGGCCTTGGCCCTCCGCGCCTCCGAGACCCGTCTCCTGAAAACCACTGCTGTATGCGCCACCCTCTGCTGAATGAGGTGGAGACCGTTCTCTTGGCCACCTGTTCGTCCCCGGCGGAGCCTTGGCGTTTGGGCGGTGCTGGCGTCGTCGCCCCGTCGTTGCAGCACCGTGAGGCCGCGCTTGTCGACTCGTATGCGAACGGCGAAACTGGCGTCGTATTCTCGCTCGCCCGCGGCTGGGAGAAAGCGTCTTTTTAACTTGCCCCGTCGACCAGTTTCGGATTCGTATCCCTGTATGAAGGAGCTCTCTGCTTTGCTCGGCAGCTTGGCAACACCGCCCTCTTACCTCCTTTAGCGAATATGGCGCTTGGTCCAGCTCTCATGTCCCCGAATCTATAATCGATGCTCGCCCGCAACCTTGACTCTTGGCCGTTTGGTCACGTCCGCTCCTTTTTCCCCGCCGTCGTGAACAATACTCACCCACAGTCGCTCCCTTTGCAACCCTGTCATTCCTTTGCGACGACGCGTTTGGACCCGAATAATTTTAATCTTGCACTTGGACATGAAGTTTTACGACGCTGCTCTCGCGGCCCTTCTGGCCGCACCTGCTGCACAAGCTCTTGATGTCGACTGGACCAGCACAGGTTCGAATCACCCGATCAGCCTTTTCCGGTGCACAGTGTTGCTGACAATACCACCCCAGATGCCATCAAGCAAGCAATGAAGCCCATCGCCAAGGGCATGACTGATTGGTACCACGGATACCGGGTGGGAGACGTGCCTGGCAACTTGCCCGATCCTTACCACTGGTGGCAGTGCGGCGCCATGTTCGGCTCCCTCATCGACTACTGGCACTACACGGGCGACGACCAATACAACGACTGGGTCCAGCAGGGAATGATCCACCAGATGGGCGACAACGCCGACTACATGCCCGCCAACCAGTCCAAATCATTAGGAAACGACGACCAAGGCTTCTGGGGAATGGCCGCCATGTCAGCCGCCGAAAGCAAGTTCCCCGACCCGCCCGAAGGCCAGCCCGGCTGGCTCGCCCTGGCCCAGGCCGTCTACACGACCCAGTCCCTGCGCTGGGACCAGTCGACGTGCGGCGGCGGCTTGAGATGGCAGATTTACAGCTTCAACGCCGGCTACACGTACAAGAACACCATCACCCAGGGCTGCTTCTTCAACATCGCCTCGCGCCTGGCCAGGTACACGGGCAACTCGACCTATGCCGACAGCGCCGAGAAGGCCTGGACCTGGATCTACAACCTCGGCCTGATCAACTCGGAATACCACTTCTACGACGGCTCCGACTCCACCATCAACTGCACCAAATTCGACCGCACCCAATGGACCTACAACGCCGGCATCTTCCTCCACGGAGCCGCCACAATGTGGAACGTCGTAAGTCCCCTACCACGCCGGAGAAAAAAGAGAAGGAAAAACATACTCACCTCCCTCCCCCGCAGACGGCCGAAGAAACAGGCGACACGGAAAACGTCTGGAAAGAGCGCGTCACGGGCATCGTCGCCGGCCTCTCCGTCTTCTTCGCGTCCGACACCAAAATCATGGTCGAAACCGCCTGCGAAACCGGCGGCACCTGCAACATCGACCAACGCACCTTCAAAGCCTACCTCGCGCGCTGGATGGCCGCCGCCATCAAAGTCGCCCCCTGGTCCGCCGACCTGATGGGCCCTTACCTCGAGCCCTCGCGCGAGGCGGCGGCGCTCGCGTGCGCCGACAAGGGCGACGGCACCGCCGAGTGCAGCCTGCGCTGGACCCAGGGCGGCTTCGACGCCGCCTCCAGCACCGGCCTCGGCGAGAACATGGCCGCCCTCGAGATGATCGGCACCGCCCTCGTCGACGTCATCCCCGGCCCCGTGACGAATAGTACTGGTGGCACCAGCGAGGGCGATCCCGACGCCGGGTTGGCGAGCCCGTTCACGCCGACCGAGGACGTGGATCCCGTGGGCACGGCCGATCGGATCGGTGCGGCGATACTGACTTTCGTGGTCATGGGGAGTATGCTGGCGGGCGCGTATTGGATGTTGATGTCCGAGTTATGAGTGTGGTGTCGTTGTTGTTGTCGTTGTTGCGTTTTTTTGCGGCGTCACATGGCTGGGGGAGGCGTAGAGGGCGTTTTTTCTTTCTTTTCCTTTCTTCTCTTTTCTCACACATACCCATTTTGTTGATGTGATGATCTGAGGGCTTTTGACTTTTTGTCTCGACCTATTGGTTTGTTTTTTTGCATACGCCTGCCACGCTGGACAGATGCACCATCACACTGTTTTACAGCGATCGAAGTGGACCAAAGAGAGTAGGATATGGGAGCTTTACACCAAAGGCGGGGCGCTCGTTGGCGTGTCCGCAATCAGGTATTCACGATTGCCTTGGCAAAAATGTTGCAAAATATACACAGTCTTCCCTGCACCTATGCATCCCCTTCAGCGCCATGGATCTTTCGAGACATGTGCGACGCGTGGCATGTACGCTTTTTGTGAAAGGGCGTGCATCCACTGATACGAAGTGATTCAGTGAGGCATGCGCCGAACTCTTCGACCCGTCTTTTTCGGACAGAGTAGTCTCCATGGCTGACTGATCATAATCTGCAGCTCGATCATTTTGGTTACTCTACTCCAGCCTTGATCGAGGCGGATGATCGTCCGGCTACGTCTGCGCCAAGTCGACGGCCGTCTGGCCTTCTGAGCCCGTCCCCTGCCTCTGGGCAGCCCTTGTTTTGAGCCGCATTATTAATGTGCGCAGGGCAGGCTTTCACGAGTCAGGCTCGGCCAGGCAGCGCCTAGCGAGCGCCCCTGCTTGTCGGTATCGTTCCTCTTTGCTTATCATCAGCCTCATGCCTCATGCACGTGAGCATGGGATTGACTCTCCGAGAAGGGGTTTGGATACTTTCAACTCAGAAGCAGGACGAACGAAGTCGGACCCGGCCATCTTCACCATCAGTACTCGCCATCACGAATGCCGTATCAACGTCGATGGTGTGTGTCATCGGCCGATTCAGCGTCATCTGTCGAATGGTCAACGCCTCCACGATACTCGCTCCGGAGACCGTCAATATCGTTTGAACAGCATTCCGAGTGCTTACCAAGCTGTTCGTGGCCGCCAGAGAAATCCAACGACACGATATCGGGCGCCCTCGATACCATGTCGGATGCAATCCCTGTTTTGTGGCATGTCTGCCTACGAATGCCGCACGCGGCCCATCGACGACGACGAAATAGCCAACACGACTCTGGACTGGATTTTGGACTCCTCAGCGGATCTTCCGGCATGCGAACACTGTCGCGCGCGCAAAATCCCGGAATAGCCTACGTGGGATCTTGGGCCCGAAATGGGGACACTTTATCATGGGCGTGAGCAACATCGTGCGCAGCTTGACTCATCCTGCTTTCTAGAACAAGTATCTGAGTGGTAGTACCCCCGGGAGCTCTGGTGATGGACCAAGATATGAATTGACTCGTACAGGACCAGATTGGAGAACCCCCATTGCACTGGTTGCTCAAGGAAAGAAATGCGTCGATTGAGATGGCACAGCAACTACTCAAAGGAGACGCAGATGTGACGCTACAAGACGAGGACAAACAGACGGCAAGGGTAGAGGGACGGGGTACAAAGACCCGTGTATATTGATACCTTGTCTGTTCTATCGAAACGCTTGCAAAGCCCTTCACAAACAGTCTTGGCCACAAAACCGATATCTCATCATTTGGACCCCTCGAGTTGCCATCAGGCTCCCCGCACAACACCCTACTGCTTTCTCTTCGCAAACTGCGACATCCTGTACTCAGTCGTGCCAGCGTACTCCTCCAGGTCCCGCAACGCCTGCTTCCCCTCCCTCTCAATCGTCTGCAAGATCTCCGGACTCCGCGGCGTGAAGCTACATTTGAAAGGCCGAGGCCTCCAATTGAGGCCGTCCCTGCAACACAAGTGATCAAGTCAGCACCCAACCCACAATCGAACCACCCGGAACCCTCACGTACGTATAGTCGAAAATATCCACCGGAACCTCCCTCCCCTCCGCATCCCTCGCCTTCTCGATCCGAAACCCCCACAACATCCTCGCCACACTCAACCACGTCCCCTGCTCCGCCAACGCCTGCCCCGAACACACCCTCCTCCCCCACCCAAACGTCATGTACCCGCGCTCCCCCGGAAACGGCCTCTTCAACCCCTCCCCCTCGCCGCCGCCCTCCAAAAACCTCTCCGGCGCGAACCGATCCGGCTCCGGAAACTCCCTCTCATGATGATGAATCGCCCACACGTTCCCCTGCACCCACGCCCCCCGCGGGATCAGCCACCCCCCAAAGTAATCGTCCCGCACCGGCGCGTGCGGCTGCCCGCCAATCACCGCCACGCTGCGCCACCGCAGCACCTCCCGCACGAACGCCCGCACGTACACCAGTTCTTGCTCGTCCTCGGCGCCGGGGCTCCGCCCGTGCCCGACGACCCGGTCGAGCTCGTCCCAGGCGCGGGGGAGCGCGCGGGGGAAGGCGCAGCACGCGAGCACGAAGGTGATTAGTGTGGAGGAGGACGTGTCGGACCCGGCGCCGAAGAGGTTGCCGGTTAGGGAGGAGACTTCTTCGGCGTCGAGGGCGTGGGCGGGGGCTGCGTGGTGGACGAGGTGGGTGGCGAAGCTGTCGGCGGCGTGGTTGTTGTTGGGCTGCGTGGCGGTGGTGGTGGCGGCTTCGTGGGCGAGGGCATAGAAGAATTTGTGGGCGCCGGTGCGGGTGCGGCGAGAGCCGAGGCCGTGTTTCCAGGGCGCGAGGGGGGTGGGGATGCGGGCGAGGACTGTGTGTTTGGGTGTGGGGGTAAGTGTGTGGGGGTGGGAGGGAGAGGGATCAGGGAGGGTGGGTGGAAGGCTTACAGGGGAATGTTTCCATGAGCATGGGGAAGGTTTTGCCTGTAGTACGTTGCGGCTGTCAGCTGGCAGGGCTCTTGGATTTGGTGGGAGGGTTCGACACTAAGACGGGGCCGTACGTACCGGGCACGTTGAGGGCGGCGGCATGATGCATGGCGGCGATGACCTCGGTGATGATGGGGTCCTTGGAGCTCGCCACACGCCGGCCGAATGCGATGATGCTCACCACGCTGGTGGCGTAGCGTTCGAAGTGCTCCACGAACTTGTCCGGGCTTGACAGGAGGTCCAGGGCCACGACCTTGCTCTCGTTGTCCTGGAACGAGCGGTACTTGCGCACCTGCTGGATGCCGACGCCCGCGTGCATCAGTTTGCGATGGATCCGCCATCGGTCGCGCCCGGCCTGCGTGTCCGTGTACATGTTGAGGAGGTTCTTTTGCCCCATGCCCAGCTCCGCAAACACCAGCATCCGCGGCCGCGAACAGTAGATGCTAGCCCGCTTGTCCAGAAGCTCCGACGCAGTCCAGGCATCGTTGATCCAGACCGTCGGATTGCTAGCAAGTGGTGTCTTAGCAAAGTGAAGCACGCTCTCGAGTCGAAGCGCTCACCGTCCAATCCAGTACGTCAGCAAAGGCGACTCGTAGCGACGCGAGAGCTGTTCGAAATATATCCAAGGTTTGCTGTCCGGAAGTTGAAAAGTGTTTCCGACGATGGGCCATGGAAACGGACCAGGGGGCTGCCATGGTGATTAGCGTTTCCTCAGTGTTGCACTTGGGCACGAGATACCATCTTTGATCTCAGATACAGCATGTGGGCATAATCCACGAGTAGAATGAGCAACGCCGCACAGGCCGAAGCCCATACTGGGTGCTGGATGAGTATCTCAATCATGCTTGCTGAGCTGAGTGGGGTTGCAACAGGAGCGACTTGGTCCGCAGCCCGGAAAACCACCTAAAACAGCTTGAGCTATGGCAGCTCTCACACACGCCTGTGCGAGCTGGTGGTGTCCCTACATAAACCGGCTGGGCGTCTCCTCGGTTGTCTTCCGGATGCAAACTGCCGACGGCAGTTGATGCTTTTTGTAAGCCATGCGACAGGATACGCCAGACACCCCACACGTCGACACATGCCCATCCATATGTAGCGGAGCTTGCAGCCGGGTAAAGTGTGGGGTGGCGGACGCCATACTCCATCTGTCCAAACAGTTTGCGGGGAAGTCTGCAGGGGGTTATTGTCCGACCGGCTTATCGTCGCTTCTCGCTGCCTTGGAAGAACAATATAACAGGGATGTGAAAATGACTCTTGACCCCATGCTGCTAGTAGTTCAAGAGGCTTGTATTATGGCCAGACCGTGGGATAACAACCGCTGAGACCAGATAAACCAGCCATTCTTCGTCATACACGACAGAAGAGGCAACAGAAGCCACTGTATCGTCCCACCTGGGATGCTTGTCATACGTTGTGCGTCACAGCCGCGTTGCATAACTTGGAACAGATCGACTGCCGGTTTTCCAAAAGCAATGCCGACTTCACCTCCTTCCCTGCCAGCAACAGGCCACGCCCTGCCGTCTCAGTGCGATTGACCGTGGTCACCTGGGCATTGGGCGTCTATGACCCTGCCACGATAGAGTGTCTGCAGCATCTGAGCTCATAGTGCCCCACTGTATCCTTGTCGGAAGCATTACCCCAGATCCCCCGCAAAATAGGCTCGGAAACGTAGGGAGGCTGGTCCCAGAAACTGAGCTCGGTCCTTATTTGGCTGTGCCTTGCTCGGGGTGTTGTCCTCGCAACAGGTAGAGCAAAACTCTATCACTCCCACCGTCAACACAGTCCACCTACTCTCCATCACCATCCATCACCGGCCGTCGAAATGACGACGCCCAAGGACGACAGCCTCTGGGCACACTGGAAGATGCTTGCCGCGTGCTTGCTCATAACGATGTGCCCCTTCCAGTATGGACTAGACTTCGGCCTCATCGGTGGTCTACAGGCCATGCCAGGTTTCCTCGCGGTAAAATCCTCAAAGGCCGTCGGGGTATACAGAGGTGTCATCGACTGACACGACAGGCAGGTTTTCGGCCACAAAGACCCAACCGTGGCAATCGGTTACAACATCTCGACCGGACGCCAGCAGCTGATATCATCGCTGATGACACTGGGCGCCTTCATCAGCTCCTCCACAGCCGGTAAGTAAGCCCCCAGTATCCACAGAAACAAACATTTCGGTGATAGCTGACCTCGATTGCCCGGCCAAAAAGGCCCCGTCGCCACCATCATGGGCCGCAAAATGGCCATCTGGGCCGCGTGCGCGACGTGCGTGGCGGCCAACGCCGTGATGATGGGCACGACGTCGATCGGGGGGCTGTACGCGGGTCGCTTCATCCTCGGGCTGGCCAACGGCGTCTTCATGACCTTCTCGCAGCTGTACCTGCAGGAGAGCGCGCCGGCGCGGTACCGGGGCGTGGCGCTCGCCGCCTTCCAGTGGTGGACGTCCGTCGGCACGCTCGTCGGCACCGTCGTCGACAACGCCACCGCGACCCTGCCCGGCCGCGCCGCGTACATGATCCCGCTCGGCGTCGTCTACGTGCTGCCGTGCGTCATGTTTGCGGGCTTGTTCTTCGTGCCCGAGAGCCCGCGCTGGCTGCTGCAGCGGGGGCGGAGGGAGGAGGCGCGCAAGGCGCTGCTGTGGCTGCGGCCGGATAGGGAGATGGCGGATAGGGAGATGGTCGAGATTGAGGAGGCCATTAGGATCGAGGAGACGCTGGCGACCGGTACCGCGATACATGATTTGTGGAGGAACCCGGTGGATCGCCGGAGGACGGTGATTGCCGTTTGTGCGATTTCCACCCAGGCGGCGTCGGGCGCCATGTATATGATCGGTGAGTTTCTTCCTGCATGCTCCGGTCGAGGAGCCACAGAGCTGACCAGAGGGCTAGCGTACGGCACCTACTTCTTTGAGATGGCGCACATAGGGGATGCGTTCCGCAACTCCTGCATCTTGACCGGTGTGGGTGTTGTTGCCATCGTTGGCAATACTCTCGTCATCTCAAAGTTTGGACGCAGGCGTGTCTTCTTGATGGTCGGAATGTTCCTGTGTAAGTTTCTTCCGCTTTACGAAGACACATGGCTGATGGTGACCAGGTGGCGCTACGCAGCTCATCATAGCTGTGGTTTACACTGTTCAGCCGGGAACTGTCCAGACGGGCAAGGTCATCGTGGGACTCTCGGTCGTCTACATCATCGGGTACAACGTAAGAGCATCCTCACCGTAAGCTTTCTGGATTGCTGTTCTGACAGATGCAGGGCATGGTTGCCACCTATGCTTGGCTCTCGGGCGGCGAGCTCCCCTCCCAGAGACTACGCTCTTACACATTCGGCATCGCCGCATCTATTGGCTTCCTCGGGGCTGTAAGTGGACAAGATGGATCCTTCCGTCATACTGCGTTACTGACGGCTTCAGTGGCTGGCTACCTTCACCGCCCCGTACTTCATCAATCCCGACAGCCTCAACTGGGGGCCGAAGTACGGCTACATCTGGGCGCCGTCGTGCTTCCTCACCGTTGTTTGGGTCTACTTCTTCTTGCCCGAAGTCAAGAACCGCACACTCGAGGAAATTGACGAAATGGTGAGTGACCCGATTTTGAGTGTTTGTGTGCATGCACTGAGTCTGTGTCGCAGTTTGAGATGCGCCTCCCAGCCCGCAAGTTCAGGAAGTATGTCTGCACTGGCCGGGTCCACGAGCACCACGGCGGGAGCAAAACCTCGGTTGAGAGAATCGAGGACATCTACTCGAACGAGAAGAGTACGGCGGAAGCGACCGCTAGCGCCAACTAGGAGGCTCTTCATTGCGTCAGGTGTTTGCGAGTAATGGTTAGCTTTAGCCGTCACCGTCGAGGTGAAGTAGATGACATGCCCGAAGGAAATCTGAATCAGTCCCTGTCATTCAGGGAAAGCTGCCTGTGATGTTCCAAGGCATGGCGAGCGTGAGCACGGCCGCCTGGTAAATCGGGTTGCAGGGCAGAACGCATGAGCAGCAAATGCCGGCTCAAATCCCGGTATTGTTGACTTAAACCATACAACATACTAGAGCGATGGTCTCGCATCAACAGATGCTCCAAGCTTCTGGGCCACGTCGTCAAAGACGTCTTCGGCATGCTTCTCGGCATCGAACTCGAAGATCCAATCCTCGCGTGGGAGCTGAATGCTCGTCGGATCCTCCTTCACCTTCTCCCAGTCCGTCTTGTGCCACATATCCCTCGTGGTCTCGCCCGTCTTCTGCACCGCCTTCACCCTGTCATACCTGATTTCCTGATACGCGCGCATGGCCAAGGGCACATTCGCCTTGCCCGCCCTCCTCAGCGCCACGGCGACCGTCACGCCGTCCTCCATGGCCTGGGTCGCGCCCTGGGTGCTCGTGGGCAAAAACGGATGGGCCGAGTCGCCCAGCAGGGCGATCCTGCCGCCCTTGCTGACCCACGTCGGCAGCGGGTCTCTGTAGACCAGCTTCCAGTCGACCAGGCTCGGCGTCTTCTCGACGATGGCCTTGCACATGGGATCCCAGCCGTCGAGCACGGCGAAGACGTCGTCCAGGCGGCCGGGGAACGACCACGACTCGTCGATGTCGGCGTCGTCGCGGTGCGTCAGCACCCAGCAGCAGTCGGCGCCGCCCTTGAGGGTGCTGAAGAGGAAGTGCACGTCCGGGCCGATCCAGCCGTTGAAGGTGTCGCCGTGGGCGCAGAAGTGGCGGGTGCGCGGGTCGGCGAGCATGGCCGTCGACGGGAACCACGCGCGCCAGACGGCGTAGCCGCTGCTCTTGGGCTTGTCGTCGTAGCCCAGCACCAGCTCGCGGGCTTTGGAGCGCACGCCGTCGGCGCCGAGGACGACGTCGGCTGTGGCCTGGCGGTGGGGCCACTTAGTGGGACTCTCTCTCGGTAAAGTAGAAGCAAACGCACCTTCTCCCCGCCCTGCAGCACGATGCCCGCCTTCTCGCCATCCTCGAAATACTCGACGATGCGCTGGCCCAGGTGAATGGGGATGCCCAGCTCATCGCGGGCGTGCTCGAAGACGACGGTATGCAGCTCGCCGCGGTGGCCATTGAAGACGGGGCTCTCCTTAACGCGCGGCGGGGCGCGCTGGGTGATGATGTGCTCGCCGGTGTACTTGTGGATGCGGAAGCCGTGGTGGGTGAGGTCGATGCTGAGCGGGCGCATGCGGTCGGCGACCTCGCCCTCGCGGTGGGTGCCCCAGCGGTAGAAGATGCGGCCGGCGTTGGGCCCGAAGGAGATGATGTCGCCAAGCGATTTGAGCTCCGGGAACGACTCGTATATTCGGACATTGTGGCCTTGGCGGTGGCATTCGATGGCGGCGGTGAGGCCGCCGAAGCCTGCGGGAGAGTCAGGTTGGTTGTTTCTTGGGATGCTTGAGCGAGCTGCCTACCTGCGCCTACGACGATGACATCGATTCCGGTCTTGGGGCGGGGATTGCTCTGGTGGTTCTCGCCCATCGTGTTTTAGGATTCCAAATTGGTGACGAGAAGCAGCTGGGTGGTACTGGTCCTGCACATGGCTCTACCAGGCTTTTCGTACATGACGGCTTCCGGATGCTTACTATGCCGGCTTCGTCCATCCGGCTCAGGGAGAGACGGACGATTGCCGGTATGACGTCTCGAGGCTCATGCAAGGGGGTGGGTGAGGACACGAGTCTAGGGTACAGCGCATGCGAGCACCCCACTTGCCGCCACCTGCCGCCACCTGCCGCCACTTACCGCCACTTGCCGCCACTTGCCGCCTCTAACCCCGCATCAGCGCCCCGTGCTGTCCCAAGGCTCCTCCCGCTGCGGCCGACGGTGGTTTCGGATTGATGGTGCCGAGTTTTTGCTTGGATGGTGTTGAGGGAGACGACGGCGCAGATCGGCGTTGGCCAGGGCAGGCACAGCCGGACGGAGACGCACCTCCCGTGTAGAGCTGACCATCTTCGGGGACCAGGGAGAACGACATCCGCACACTTTCTACTACGAACATGGCGCGTTTCCGAGATTACCAGGGTATTAAGGTTGCGGGAACGATTCCACTATCATCAGGATTGCTATAAAACTCTCTTTCCCGGTCTCTTCCAATTGATCGTGCTGCGCCATCTTATCTCTCTCACTGCAGATAGTCAACCTACCTAAAGAAAAGAAAACATGACATCCTATCCGGAATGGGGTCCCAAGACCAAGGCCACGGACGTGGCGATAGCGTTCAGCAAGCAGATCAAAGGCCGATACGGTACTACCTCTCACTTCCCTCCTCCACACCCACGCCAACCACCCGCCAACACCTCACAGTCCTCGTGACGGGCATCTCGCGCAACTCGCTCGGCGAGGCCACCGCCCTCGCCATCGCCGCCCAGGGCCCCGCCCTCCTCATCCTCGCCTCGCGCACCCCCTCCAGCCTCGACTACGTCGCCGACGAGATCCGCTCCGTCCAGCCCGCGACCCCCGTCGCCACCGTGACCGTGGACCTGCTCTCGCAGGCCTCGGTGCGCGCCGCCGCCGCCAAAATCTCCGACCTCGTCCCCCGCCTGGACGTCATCATCAACAACGCAGGCGTCATGACGCGCACGCGCCGCACCTCGCCCGAGGGCATCGAGGGCCAGTTCGCCACCAACCACCTCGGCCCGTTCCTACTAACAAACCTGCTGGCGCCGAAGCTGCTGGCCGCCGCCGCGGCGTCGCCATCGTCGTCGTCCGCATCCGGCCCGCGCGTCGTCAACGTGTCTAGCTTCGGCGTCTACATCTCGCCCGTCCGCTTCCACGACTACAACCTCGAGGGCGCGCTCGACGACTCGGACATCCCGCCCGAGGAGCGCGGCAAGGCCCCCGAGAAGCTCCCCAAGGCGTTTGCCGCCAACATCGACGGCTACCGCGGCTTCATCGCCTACGGCCAGAGCAAGTCGGCCCAGGTGCTCTTCGCCGTCGAGCTGACGCGCCGGTTGAAGGAGAGCGGCGTCGTGGCCGTGGCGCTGCACCCGGGGGGTGAGTCTCTTTCCTTGCTCTCTCTTTTCCCCTTGCCTACCCCCTTCGTCGGGAATCTGGGTGGTGGCTGAGCGGAGACTACTGTGTGGGAAGGCTCCTGTTTGCTGACGGATTGTTTTCGTGTACAGCCATCTGGACGAACTTGAGCAGAGACTTGGATGAGGAAGGGTACGAGGCGATTGCGGGCGGGGCGAAGGAGTTCAAGAGCCCGGACGAGGGGGCGTCGACGATGATCGTTGCGGCGTTTGACCCTGCTCTCAACGGTGAGTTTGTTGTTTTGCTGGAACCGAGATGCGTGTCCATGGCTGATGCGCGCTGGCAGAACCGTCGGGTAGTTTCCTTTCCGATTGCCAGTATCACGAACCGCCTCCGTACGCGACGGATCCCGCGCTGGCCGAAAAGCTTTGGAGTCTGAGTGAAGAGCTGGTCAAGCAGAAGTTCGACCTGCCGCCGAGGGCTTGAAGTGGTACGGGCAACTGATAAGCGGCCGGCTGGACGTTCGCCTAGGGGCCGAACAAGGTTGGAGCTGACGCGACCCTCTACGAAAGTTGTCAGAGGCTATGGAAATGAAAGAGTCACATGCTACCGATAGAATTGCGTGGCTCCGGAGAAAATGCTATCACCGAAGATGATTATCTCGCGCCCCAGGGCGAGCACGGACGTGATTGGGCAGCTCGTGTCTCACCATGGGCTTTTGCAGGGTTCCCGCCGTCGCTGCAAATTTGACATGAAGCCCTACGGCTGCTGGACGCTTGTTTCACGCGCATCCCGCTTCTCATTGGCCTGGAACGCCCAGCCGAACACCTCAGGACAGCCATTCGGCAGGTCTTCTCCCTCCCATGGGTCAGCCTTGCTAAATATCGTCGCAGGTCCAGTCATGGGACCCTTTGAGCATGTCAGATACGGAAATCAAGCCCTGACTTGTACAAATTCATCACAGCGCCTGCCCAAAACCGCTATCGTGCGAGTTCCAGCAATCGTCACCCTGCGCGCGTTGTATCATGAACTGGTCCGTGCGGGAAACGTGAAGGTTTATTTAACAAGCAAGACGATGAAACGCCGAGTATTTTGAAGCAGCCTTTCAACAGACCCTGTCGCCAGTCCCAAATTTCCATTGGTCAAAACCGTGTCTCTGCCCTCCTCAGCCTTCTTGCCTCTCACAACTTATCCCAACACATGCAAGGTCCGTTGTCTCGCATAAGGAGGCCAGCACATAGACTACCAGTCATATCAGAGGCTGATCCAGCACGAGTGTAACACATAACGCAACCGTTTTAGCTCAGGCTTCCTGCGTCCACAGGCTACGGGGAGCTCAAGAAGCCGAGTGAAACCACATTCCTCCAGACCCGACCAGATCTTTTCCTGGTAGGCACCGATACAAATAGGAAAATCTTCACCAGCCTCCACGAGAGTGCTCACCCCAAAGGCAGTCATGAATCCCACCAGGCATACGATATGGCGGCAAGAGCAAACCCCCGCATCAAACAACGGTCACACTTCCAGGCAAGATGGCCGTGGCGATGCCGTGTCCAGCATGCCGGCTGACGCGGCTACTCCTGGCTCGTGGGTAAGTGAGATGATTTACGCCGAACTGCAACATGTTTTTCAACCTTGTTTATATCTAATGCATCAGACAGACGTGCTGCAAGTGCTGGGCAGAGAACCAGGGCCCCTACACGACTCAGTGCCTGAACTGCGGACACACTCGCTGCGGTACATGCCTACAGAACTAGCTTTCTGAGCCACAATGACCAAAACGCAAGGCACCTTTGACGGCCGGAGCCTTTCGACCAGTAACAGAATTCCTCGGATTTCCGCATTACGTGTACGACCATGGACGCAAGCCGAACTGCCGAAGAGGAAGGTGGCCCGGCGGATACGTGCAGCATGATAGCACGAACTGCGAGAGAAGGGGAGGAGATAGTGCGCAATTGTTTCACATTCGGAGCGAAATAAACGGGAACAAAGAGATGGAAAGATGGAAGAAAGCTCTTCCATGTGCAGATAGCAAGTGAGACTGGGTTTCAGACGAATAGCCCCGGCCTCAGTTTTCAAGATGCCGAACCAACGCACTCCTCTTTTGTGCAAGCGCTCACATTTTCTGCTGCACATATGGTGCTCCGGCATCAAGAGCAAATTTATATGCACACCAACTGATGAACATTCGTTGACCCACAGCTGAACCGTCTGCACGCCCGCTCACTCCCCACTTCTGAGTAATCGCGCGGGGAAGGAAGCAACCCAGCAAGAAACCCGGCAGGCTTGTGTGTGCCTGGAACCCCACCAATCGGACCCTCAGCACAGAAGGCTTGGCTTTGACAGTCGTCGGGTGGGTTCTTCGTGGTGGTCAAGTCGGTCGCTTACCTAGACTTACTTAGCTGCGTTAGCGCTCGTGTAAGCAGTAGCCAGGTGCCGACGCAGGCAACGGATCCTTCCTCCTACCTACCGTTAAACTTTCGATATGGCGCCACGCTAGGGGCTCTTAACATGGATGCTGACGACGCACAACATGCCAACTCCATCACACTCATACCTGAGAAGAGAGTCGTACCTATGCCGGACTTAAGACGGCGAAAACGGAGACCCGTCTGGGCGCCAAGTCTATCTGATCCACAAACACCTGATACACTCACTGTACGACTGCGGTAATAATCATCAGGCCATGATTTTTCCCATCGCTAGGCGGCCGGGACTCCCGGGACACGCCGTCAACTGGCACGCATGCTCACCCGCGTCCCCGTCTTCCCGGGGCTTAGACATGGACGACTCGGGCAGGTGCAGGTCTTGATCCCTGTCGCATGCATGGGCTGCTTTCTGTCGAAGGAGCGTCGTGGAGAGTCAGCACTGCAGATTTTGGGGCCTTGGTGTTTTAGATTGCTGCGGGGCTGCTCGTCAGAAATAAGCACTACGTCGCTGGACAGCGGGGTGTTTAAATTGGGGACTTGAAGCTCTCTTTCTCCTGCGCAATCCAACCCCCATAACCCCTCCTCTATTCCCCGCTCGATCGATCTTCAATATGGCTGCTGATGGAAGCAATGGCGGGCCGCAGAAGATTGAGACCCGGCTCTACATAAACGGCAAGGCAAGTCCCTCGTCCTTCCCCCGCCAGCCGTGGCCATCTTCTTCCACCAGCCATACACTAACGCCCCTGGCCGTCCAGTTCGTCGAGTCCTCCGATAAAAAGACATTCAAGCTCTTCTCGCCCTCGACTCGCGAGCACGTCGCCGATGGTAAGCCCACCCCCACCCCCGCGTCCCTCCCGCAATAAGGAAAAAGAGAGAGAGAAAAAAAGGAAAAAAAACCACTCACCACCTCCCCCCCTCCCCAGTCTTCGAAGCCACCACCGCCGACACCAACGCCGCCGTCGCCGCCGCCAAAGCAGCCCAGCCCTCCTGGGCCGCCCTCTCCCCAACAGAGCGCGGCGTCCCGATGAAGAAACTCGCAGCGCTGCTGCGGACAAACGAGTCGCAGACGCGCATGGCGGCGCTCGAGGCTTCGAGCATGGGGCGGCCGCTGGGCGCGTACTTCGACGCGGAGCACTGCGCGGGCAGCTTCGAGGCGTTCGCGGCGCACGGGTGGGGCGCGCAGGCGCAGGGGGCGACGAGCGTGCGCACGCCGGGCATGCTGGCCATGACGCTGCGGCAGCCGTTTGGCGTGGCGGCCGCCATCATCCCGTGGAACGGGCCGGCCGTGTTTTTCGGGTCCAAGGTCGCGCCCATGGTGGCGGCGGGGAATGCGGTGGTTTTGAAGAGCAGCGAGAAGGCGCCGTTGACGGTGCGTGGTGTTTTTCTTTCTTTCTTTCTTCCTTCCTTCTTTTTTCTTTCTTTTTTCGACACGTTCTGATGGGAGGAGTGACGGATGCTGACGAGACGATTCACACAGTCGGCCTACATCGCCGGGCTCATCGACCAAGCCGGGTTCCCGCCCGGGGTCATCAACGTCCTGCACGGCCACGGCCAGACGTCCGGCGCGACGCTGTCCTCGCACATGGACGTACGCGTGCTGTCCTTCACCGGATCCGGCCGCACGGGCAGGCTCATCTGCGAGGCGGCGGCGCGGTCGAACCTCAAGAACGTGCACCTCGAGCTGGGCGGCAAGTCGCCCGCCATCATCTTCGACGACGCCGACCTCGACCGCGCCGCCGCCGACACGCAGTTCAGCATGACGCTGAACTCGGGCCAGATCTGCATGGCCAACAGCCGCATCCTCGTGCACGAGGCCGTCGCCGCCGACTTCCAGGCCCGCTTCCGCGACCGCTACGCCGCCGTGCGCGTCGGCAGGGCCGACGACGACGCCGTGCAGATGGGCCCGCTGGCCGACGCCGCCCAGTACGAGTCCGTCACCAGCTACATCCAGCTGGCCAAGGACGCCGGCGCCACCATGCTGCTGGGCGGCGACGCATCAGTGAATAAAGAGGGCGGCGGCTTCTTCGTCGGCCCGCACATCTTCACCGACCTGCCCGACGACTCGCGCCCCGCCCGCGAGGAGATCTTCGGCCCCGTCGTCATCATCGGCGTCTTCAAGACCGAGGAGGAGGCCGTCCGCCGCGCAAACGACACCGAGTACGGCCTATACGCGTCCGTCTACACAAAGGACATCAGCCGCGCCATCCGCATGGCCCAGGCCCTCGAGAGCGGCACCGTCGGCGTCAACTGTAGCAGCCCGACCCTCGTCGACGACATGCCCTTTGGCGGCTACAAGGCGAGCGGTCTCGGCAGGGAAGGGCTGACCCACAGCCTGGGGAACTTCTTGGAGGAGAAGACGGTGCTGATTAGGCTTTGAGCTGCCTTCTGCCCAGCACGCCTGTCTCGATTCCGAGACGGGCCGAAAGGGTAGCAGGACTGTTTAGACTCTGAGTGGATATGATGGCAAATCGATGAGGTCACGAGGTTCACGGATCCTTGAGGTCGAAGTGTTTGGGCCAGCTGGACAAGGAAAGGGAAAGCCAAAAGAGAGCACATTCCCGATCTGGAGGTACGACGTAGTCAAGAGCTGATGCTTGCGTGGCTGACTCGGCTGGTGTGCTTCCCCGCATTGATCGGCTCTGGGGTTGTACGGTGGGTCAACACGTAGCCATGTTTGTGCTGGTCAGGTATTTCTGACTGCAGCTGTTTGCTGAAACTCATCATCTCCACTTCTCCGCCTGGGCAGACGTAGGACTGTCAGATGCCCAGTGTGTCACCTATGCGTCTCATTCTTGGCATTTGATTGACCGGCAGCATGGTGGACGTTTTACGTCTTGCCAGACCCTGAAGGGGATGCTTGAACAGGAGCGGCGGGGTATTCGCGCTTGCGCCTGGTCCGCGTACTTCCAAGTTACCATTTTTGGCCATCGCTCGTACTAGCGCCCTGATTTTGGAATGACTTTAAACTCTGTGTTGTTTAACCGTCAGCTTTTTCTGAACGTCAATCGGACCACTTCCGGCAAAGCTTATCTTGATGTCACCTAGAGTCTACGCATCAACCCACACCAACCCCCGCGGCGGACCGCAAGTGGAGTAGCTCGACCTCAGCACCGATGTCCTCCAACGCCAATACCATTTCGAGGTACCTTCCCCGCTGTCCGCACCAATAGGCTATTCCATCACGCTTCTATTTGGCAATTCTCTCGTCCCTACTCCCTCGGTGCGACACTTGCCCTTCAACTACCCTGCACGCACTTTGGCCTCGGAAGAAGAGGGGTATCCGCCGTCTGTCGCACAGCATCCACCGTGCATGAAAAGAAATATATTAAAGACACACGCACAGTCTCTCTCCATCTCTCACTCACTCTCTCACTTCCCTCCATTCCAGCCAGGCAATCTTCTTGAACACCCCTCACGATGGACGGGAGTACACCCATCTTCGCCTACGGCGCAGCCGCCCTGCTCGGCGTAGTCTCCCACGTCGCCTACTTCAACCGCTCCGAACACCACCTCCACGCCGTCCGCTACATGCAACTCTACCTCCTCGCCTACGCCACCGCCGTCTTCATCCTCGCCCGCACAGCGTCAGAAGCATCCGCCTCCCCCTCTCCCTTCCCCTCCCCCCACCACCTCGCCGCCGCCGCCAAACCCGCCGCCTCCCTCCTCGCCACCCACCTCCTCGGCCTCTACGCCTCCCTCCTCACCTACCGCGCCACCCCGCTCCACCCTCTCCACGCCTTCCCCGGCCCCTTCCTCGCCCGCCTCACCTCCTTCTACCTCCCCCTGCACGTCCTCCACCGCGTCCCCAACAAACCCTCCACCCCCAACAACCCCAGCAAACACACCAAACTCATCCCCCAAGCCCACAAAACCCTCGCCGCCCTGCACGCGCGCCACGGCCCCATCGTCCGCGTCGGCACCGCCGAGCTCTCCGTCGCCGACCCCGCCGCCGTGCCGCTCGTCTACGGCGCGGGCAGCAGTTGCACGAAGGCGCCGTGGTACGACAACGACAGGCCGCTGACGAGCATGCACACGGCGCGCGACAGGGGATATCACGATGCCAGGAGGAAGGTGTGGGGCAGGGCGTTTGCGGCGGGGGGGAAGGTCTTGGCGGGGTATGAGCGGAGGGTGGGAGCGAGGGTGGAGGGGTTGGTGGGGGGGTTGAGGGAGGCGATGGGGGGGAAGGTGGGGGGGAAGGCGGGGGAGGGGGAGGGGGAGAAGAAGGAGGGGGTCGATGCGAGGGAGTGGTTTGCGTGGTTTGCGTATGATGTTATGGGGGAGTTGGCGTTTGGGAAGGGGTTTGGCTGCGTCGAGGGGGGAAAGGGGCATTGGGCGATTGGGTTGCTGGAGGAGGGGATGAGGCCGATGGGGTTCATGTGTGGGTGCTTTTTTTCTTCTTTCTTTTTGCGTCTTTTTTTTTGCGTCTCATGCGCGCGGTCTCTTTCTTTTCCCTATGTGATGCGACGGGTTATGCGGGTGTGCTGACTGGCTGGTTTCACAGTGCCGCCGTGGGCTTTCCGCACGCTGGCCGCCATTCCCGGCGTCGCGGCCGGGTACTGGAAGTTCATCAACTACTGCTCGGACCAGCTCGAGGAGCGCATGAAGACGAAGCCCGAGGACCCGGACATCATGTCGGCGCTCATCGAGCCCGTCAAGGACAAGCAGCTCTCCGACCGCGAGCTGAGGATGCTGCAGGCCGACTCGAGACTGATCATCGTCGCCGGGAGGTACGTACACCCCCACCCGCACTCGACCCTATCCCCTCCCCAATCCCGTCCTCCCCACCATCAACTCTTAGCCCAAACCAACCAACCCACTAACCCTGATTCCCCTCCCCTCCCCAGCGACACCACCTCCAGCACCCTCACCCACATCTTCTACCACCTCGCCGCCGCGCCGCACCACCAAGCCACCCTCCTCGCCGAGCTCCGCCCACACATGCCCGACCCCTCCTCCCAAACCACCGCGAAGATCCCCCCCCCACCGCACCCTCCTCACCCTCCCCCACCTCAACGCCCTCATCGCCGAAACCCTCCGCCTCCACCCGCCCGTCCCCTCCGCCCTCCAGCGCCTCACGCCCCCCGCCGGCCTCACCCTGCCCTCGGGCACGCACATCCCCGGCAACACCGTCGTGTGGTGCCCGGCCTACGTCATCGGCCGCTCGCCCGCCGCGTACGTCGAGCCCGACGAGTTTTGTCCGGAGCGGTGGTACAACGACGACGACGACAACGACGATGACGACAATGACGAGGAGCGGAAGGAGGGAAAGAAGGGGAAGGGGAAGAAAGGGTGGGTGCGCGATGCCAAGGCGTACGCGCCGTTTGGCTTGGGGACGTATGCGTGCGTGGGGAAGCCGTTGGCGATGATGGAGCTGCGGATGGTGGTGGCGGGGGTGGTGGCGGCGTTTGAGGTGGGCTTGGCGGAGGGGGAGGATGGCGCGGAGCTGTTGGGAGGGAGTGCGGATCATTTCACTTTGGGGTGTGGGCGGTTGAGGCTGTGTTTTAGGGAGAGGGAGAGGGAGAGGGGGGGCGGAAAGTAAAGTAAATGGGGCTTGGTGACATGGTGTTTTGGCAGATGCGGGGGATGATGCGGGTGCAAAGAGTGGTTGTCGGCAGCGGCGCGGTATCTTGAGACACAAGTCGGTAGAACCGTTTTTAAAAGAGGAAGTGCATTGCTACCTAACGCCTATAGTCCGAAATCGTGTCGTTACTGTTTTGATATCTTTGACCTTTTCCACAAAAAAAGACGACGCAAAGGAACGCGAGAAGAGCAAAACTAAAGTACGGAATATGACAATCTGGTTATTGGAATCACCATGCTTTTTGTTGCTGTAGCACGGCTCTCGGGGTTTCACTGAAAGTAATGATCAGCCAACCTGTTGACTTCAGTCTCTGAGTAGTACCTACCGGCTGAAGAGAGTGCATCCTCACTCAATCGGGATTCCATGCTCCTTCAACTTGTGCTTCAGGAGATCTCTCTTCCGGAAGTAGCCTTTGGGTCCAGTGCGTTCGCAGCCTGACTCCGTGCAGGGAAATTCTGATTCCTTGTGGACCTTCCTCATGTGTGTGATGTAATCGGAGCTCTTTTGGAAAGCATGTTCCCGGTTCCGCGTTCCTTCCGGTCGCCACTCCGAGCAGCCTTCGTGTGGGCAGGATCGGGCACGGGTGGTTTTCTGTTCGTCCACCCCGATGTGGTGGTAGTTCCGCAAGTGCTGAGTCAGATGGTCCTTGCGCTTGAAACCGTCGACCCCACGGTGCCTCCTGCAGTGCGGGCACGGGAAGCGTTGGACATCGGATCTATGGGTATATTGGTGTCGTAGGAAGACATCGAAGCGAGAATATGTCTTCCCACAGCCTTCTTCCGGACAGTAGAAGGATGCATGGCCGGTTAAGGATGCATGGTTGCCTAGACTAGGGATGTTGGGAAAGGCCGCTTGGCACTGGCGGCATGTTCGAAGCTCTGGATGAGCACCACGTGTATGTCCCTGCATTGTTTTGTATCGTTCGCATGTAAAGCCGCAGTCCATAACCTGGCAGCCATACCGATGGTGCCCGGTAAGTAGAAGGTGTTCGTCCAATTTCGTCCAACTCCCGAAGCGAAGGTTGCAAGAACAACGATTTGATGTTGAGAAATCCGCGTTCGTCGAACCAGGCATTTGGCGATAAGAAGGGCCTGAGGTTGGCGTGACAGTATGCTGTTCGGAAGGGCGCGTCTCAGCCGCCTTGGCCGGCTCATGGCCATTGGAGATCCCGTCGTCCAGTTGGTTGGAACCGAGATCAGCACTGAAATTCCAGTTGGAAGCTTGAACTCCAAAAGAATTTGGTAGACCCTCAAGCGTAAAGCCATCGATGCCTCCCGCCAGTCCCGTAGTGAGCCTGGGTACGGCTTCAGGCATTGGCGCATCCCACTCATCGGTGGCAGACGGGAGCAGCAGATGCTCATAGCCCTTGAAGATCTCGTCGTTCAGTTGGTTTGAACCGAGATCATGGCTAGAATTCAAGTTGAAAGCTTGAACTCCAAAAGGATTTGGTGTACCCTCGAGCATAGAGCCATCGATGCCTTGATCCGCCGGTCCCGTAGACGCATTTGGCCACTCATCGGTGGAAAATTGGGTCAGCAGAGGGTCGCAAGTAGCTAGGGTTTGGCTCGGGAACCAGGGATTATCTTGGTAGCCTGCGGTTGCAGAGTCACTCCGTGGGAAACTCTCGGTGGTGTTGTCCCACACGTCTGTTGTCTCGGTCCCAGAATTCGTCCCGTATTCTGGCCAATTGGAGGAATATCCGATAGGATGCGGCTCCTCGAATGTCCCGAAAAGGCCGTGCTGATTCCCATGCAGGCGGGCTGCCCTCGCCCTTTTTCTAAGTCAGTACTAAAAAAAAAACCGACCAGGATTCGTCCATGATCACAAGAAGCGATTGGACGATGTTGCGCCACGACAGTGCAAAAAGGGCGAGCGGATGCAAGGCCGTAGCTTTGGTGTGACCGGGTCGGATGGGTGGGAAAGCGGCAGAAAAGCCAGAGAGCGATATGATTGGGGATAGAGCTGGAAGGGAAGACAAGCAGGTGCTGAAGCAGCCTTGGGGGTAGTGCTAGATTCATAGACGGCTGCCAAGATGGTCTCACCGCTTTTACCAGACCCCTACCACAGCTGAAAGGGCGGGGCTCCAGTGCTTGCTAACGAGAGCCAATCCCTTGCCAAATGCGCTGGAGCCTTGTTGTTGTGCTACGCATGCTGACCACCGGTCAGCCAGCCTTGGAGCGGTCGAGCGGGGCTCCTGCCAACATAGCCGCACGGATTTCACCCTGCGAAACATGAAGCCATCGGGGCAAAGGCAGCGCGAAATCAAGGTTTCAAGAGCACGAGTATTCTTGTCGCAACGGACAGAGATTTTTCGCGTAAAGATTATCTCACAAGTCAAACCCTCCCAGGCGGCAGTGGGACCCGCCAAGTCACGTCCCAATTAGGTTTAGCTCCGTATTCAAAACTACTTAATACTACTCCAATCTTCTCAGCTAATTATAACGTAGGGTATTCTCTACCGCCGGAGGGTCTAAGAGTAAACGGTTATAACTTTATAGTACGCCGATTTACGTTATATAACGACTATAATATCTATCTTTAACGCTATACTTTATATCTATAACGAGGTTTTACTATTCTATAAATATATTTAGATAATAGAGGGGCTACTAATCTATCTTTATAAATTAATTTAAACGCCGCCGAGCGAATAGAAATAATACTATCGAGCCTTTTAACTAGTCTTTCTAGTAGCCGCTCTAGTAGCTCTCTTATAATATCCTCTTAGAGCTCGCCTACCGTCTATAATATATAAGAGAACCCTCGTAATAACGGCGATAGTATTAGCGATTTAATAGATATTAACGAATCTTCTAGCTAACTATAAATATCCCGCGCTAATAGATAGAGGCTTTAATAAGTCGTAGATACGATACGTCGTATTAATTTCTTATTTAATATCTTTATAATTACTTAGATTATCTACGGCGTCGAGCTTAAAAATATAAAATATCGCTTCTTATAATAACGATAGAACGCGATACGTATAATCTTAAAGTATTCTATTATAGACCGAATTATACTTACTAGTAAGAAGAGATACTACCGCGAGCTTAATATTCTTATTAGCTACGTATATCTATATAGCGTATAATATCCGCCTTACTTTAGCTAATTTAATTATACGTAAGATATTAAAGGTCTAAATATTAAAAAGGCCGTTACTATTATTAAATCTTAAGCCTCTTTATAGTATAGTCTACTCTCTTACGTTCTTAGAAATCTATATACCTATTAGTCGAGCTATATCTATAAGAATAATTAAAAGATAACGGCGATTAACCGATATATATTCGCTATTATAAGTATAACCTATTACTTAAGATAGCGAAAGAACTCGAATTTTCTTCTAAGTACGCTAGATATCTACCTTCTTACGTCTAGTATAAAACGACGGGTTATTTAAATACTAGGCGGTTTAGATATATATTATAGATATTATACTACTAAGCGCTTAGTAGATAGTATAGTAGACTATATAAGAATACGTTATATTTAATTATACTATTTAAAACTACTCTAAACTACTTAATACTACTCGTAACTACTTACCCGGAGTTTCTCCGTTTTTATATAGTAATAGCGAAGATTTTAAACTACTTAATACTACTTATAACTACTTACTTAGAGTTTCTTCGTTTTTATATAGTAGTAGCGGAGACTAAACGAACGACTCGACTTATATTATATTATATAGATATAGCTTAAGCTACTCGTTACTTCTTAATAGATAACGATTATCTATAATAATATAAACTTTCTTAGTATAAAACGCGACGAGGTTCTTAGTAATAAAATAAAAATACGTTCTCTTATTATCTCGGCTATTATTCTTTATTCTAGTCTACTAGATATCGGTCTTATATAGACTATATATAATTCTACTATCGAGCTTTAAGTAAATAATATTCTCTTCTTATCTAGTATCTTAGGTTATAATAACTATATTAGCGAGTAAATTACGAAGAATCTAATCGTAGACGCGGTTACGAGGCTTTATCTAGATATCGTTTAAACGGTATTTTATAAGAATCGTTTAGTTTAATATTTAATAATATTATATATTCGTAAGTTAAGCACTTATAAAACGTTATTCTAGTAATTTAGAGTAGTATACGAAAATAAAGATACTATTAAAGGGACTTATAGAATTTACGATAGCTTATTTCTAGACTAACTCGGCTTAGATTTAAATACTAACTTTAAATAGCGTCTTTAGTTAGTATACGGCGATTAGCTTATATTATAGCTAATACGAAGAACGAAGAAAGGCTAGTATTATTTTAAGTTTTTATATTATCGCCGTAGATAGCTACTTAGTATTTCCTCGTAGTTCTATATTTAGATAAATATCGTTAATACGATTATTTAAATATATTAGAACTCTCTTAGCTATAGCGAGAAGACGGTTTATTATATTATATTTAATATTACTCTATAGAATCGTAGCTAGTATAGCCGAAATAATATTAAGTATTACTAGCTTAAGCCTCTTCTTACTTAAGAATTTATAAATCGGACGGTAGTATTATTTTATAATACTATACGATAGAGGAATTAGTTAACTATAAATCTTAGTTACTATAAGATTATCGATAAAGCGCTCTTACGACTATCGCTAGACTAGTTTCTTATAAGGATCTATAGCCGCGTCTCGTATACGCTTCGTATACGAGACCTATAGAAGTTACGTACTAGTTACGTAACTCTCGCTTAGCTATATATAAAAGCCCTTCGGCCTACGGGCGAAGGCCGAATTCTCTAAGAATTCGTCTATTAATTATAAGCCCTCTTCTTATGCCTATCTTAAGCTTTCTATTCGTACCTTATATCTTATATTCGAATCCTTCTCTTTAAACAGCCGGTTTAGAATACCTTCTAAGCGAATCCCTCTTTCCGTACGCGACGCGTATACGTCGCGTACTAAAAACGCTATAGTCGTATAAGACCTCTTAACCGGGTCGGACTATCCGACCTCTAGCGAATTAGACGATAACGCCGACGAGATACCCCCGATGCCTACCGCTATAGAAGAACCCCCCTCTATAACGATTACGCCCGAAGACGTTATTACGAATCTAAAGACTAAGATCTATAGGCTCTCTATAGTAATCCCGACCTCCTCGGCTTAAATTATCGAATTAAACGCTTTAATTAAGGGTCTATAGGAACGTATTAATATACTCTCTTAGCTAAGCGTACCCGAAACGTATACTCCTCGTATATATCTCGACTTCGAAGCGCGGAAGGCGATCTAGCGAGAAAAGAACGTTCCCGAACTATAAACCGCGACCTAGTACTATTTCGATAAGTAGATTAACGAGTTAAATAATAAGTTTAATATACTTAATCTATAAGACTAGAATATCGAGAAGCGGACCCGCTAGGCCCTCTAGGGCCTCGCGAAGTACGAAGTAATCGCCTAATACGTCTACTAACGCCTAGATAAATTCGTAACCCGAGAGGAGCTCCTCTTTAAGAAGTTTAAAGTAATCGTTTAAGATTAAGTAAGAAACCCCACCTTACGGCGGTACGAGAATACGGTTATATTCTACCGCTTTCTAATAAAGCCTAGTACGTCGTATTAGAAGTACCGCGCCCGTATAGAAAGCCTATATAAATAGCTTCTATACGCGGTAGCCGATAAGAACCTTCTTATCGACCTCTTCTTTACGAACCTCCTAAAGGTCTATCGTAAAGAACTCCTTAAACACCCTACGATAAAGACTATTTAGGGGGTTAAGAAACTCTACGACTTAATTATTAGCCTTAAGTAGACGCTCGGCTTAGTTAAGATAGCGTAGACGGAGAAATAATAGCGCTAAAGCGTAGGCTATAAACGCCCGCGTCCGGTCTACTCTACCGATAGTAGGCGAGGTCGGTCGAGGAACTCGAGCTAATATAAGCCGCCTCGCTAAAAAGACTCCTAAAAGTCGACTCGTAGATAAGGCGTAGGCGCTTCGTATACGAAGCGTAACTCGGGCTCCCGCCGGTTTAATAAGAATCCGGCTAGTAACTAACCCCCTTCTAGAGCCGATAGCTCGAAGGACGATAAGACCTCGGGAAAAAAATAGTCCTAGTAGCGACTCTAAGCCGCCTATCTCTAGGACTAGTCGACCGAGGCTTAACCGGACGGATTATTATAAACGTTCTTTTAGAGTCGCCGGAAGGGCTAGTAGCCTTAAAGGCCCTCTTAGATTCGAAAAGCGATATAAACCTTATTAGGTAAGATCTAGTAAGTATCTATCGCGTATTCTTCTCGTACGTTAAGCGTACGCTCCGCGTACGGTTCTTAGATAGCCACTCTATAACTATATAGAACTTCTATAAACTTACCCTCCGGGCTAAAGACGGGATAGGCGTTAAGCGAACTATCGGACCGCGCCTATTCTAGAGCGCGTCCTTCGAGGGTTACGATCTAATCCTTAGTCTAGACTAGCTAAAAGCGGCCGATCTTATCGCCCGCTTTAGTACGAACACCCTTAAATAGGATAATCTATACTAAGACCGTATCGAGCTTATCTCTACGGTATAATTCGCTAGTTAACTGGCCTTAAACGATCCCGTCTACTAGATTAATCTAGAAGATAAGGTTCCTAGTTAGGACTAGCCCCTACTAACGTAGAAAGGCGGAGATTGTAACCCTACGTACTACCCGCGACGTACTAGCGCCGCGTATACGTAATATATATACTTCGTATTAGAAGCGTAGGGTAATTCTATTCTTATAGCCGCAACGGTTACCGCGCTATAAGAAGGACTTCTAAGTTA